TTTTCCTTTTTTTCTTTCTTTCTTATGATATGCTTTGTCATCTGCACATTTGTTTACTATCCATTATTATTGGAAATTATCCTGGTCTCCATTTACCTCAGTTTGTAAATATCTTTTCTGTCTCCCTTTGTGTTTTGGTGAGATGCTAGGATTAAAGATGAGATGCCAGGATTAAGGGTGCCCCACCCTGGGTTTGAGTTGCAGCAATTAATAGGCTTAGAGCCTGCACGGAATTATGCGACTAGACATGGGCTTACATCAACTGCCATCATCTCCCCCCCCCCCTTTCTTTTTTTAACTAACTGGCCTTAGGAGCTTAGTCTCTGGTTTTGGAGAATAAGAGAGAGGAATCTCTTTTCTTTTTTAATTATTTTAACAATCACAGTGGCTCTTCCCCACGTGGAAGAGAAATTTAACTGTTTTAAGAGGAAACGCCCAAGGCTTTTGCCAAGGTACCTGGAGGGCCTGTTCCAGCCAGTTTTAGCTGACTGGCTTCCTCCCTGTTTCAAATCCCACCTGGGGCTATATCTTTCTGGCTGGACTTCTTTATTTAAATGCAGATAATCTGAGCAGAACAAATGAACAGTGTTCAAAATTAAAGAGACTGAGAATAGGAAAGCAGAGTCATCCTCATTCTTAGCCTTTTTACTATCAGAATAAATGCAAGAGACAATGTTCCCAATTGGCTCCATTCTGCTTAAGAAGAATCATCAAGGGACTCAAAATACCAGCTGAGCCATCAAGGGGCCCAAGTGGCTAAGGGAATTTAACCTCTTAGACTTCACCATCATGCAGATTTCCCTGACTTTGACATTAGGCCATATTCTTGATGAGTGGGAAGGATTTGATCTTGACAGTCTAGAACAGAAAGAGCTTATCTACTATTGCAATACACTTTGCGTTCATTATGAACTGTGAAGTGGCAAAAGATGGTACTTTATTATTATTATTATTATTTTTTTTTTGGTACTGGGGATTGAACTCGGGACCTTGTGCTTGGGAGGCAGGCAGCAGAACCACTGAGCTAAATCCCCAGCCCAGGACTTTATTTTTATTTTATTTTTTTCAGGATGGTACTTTAAATTTCACTGTTCTCCAGTTAGAGAACAGTGCTTAAAATATAAAAAGTGGATGGGCCGGGGATTTAGCCCAGTGGTTCCACCGCCTGCCTTGCAAGTGCAAGGTCCCAAGTTTGATCCCTGGTACCAAAAAAATAAATAAATGAAAAGTGGAATGAAATCTCTCATGTACAGGCTTTTGTGACTCTGTCACAGGAAAGGATCAGAAGCTAAGAGGAAGGGCCTGTCCTGGAGCCCTCATTTTTCTCTTGGATTTGTGGATCTCTCTGATCTGTTTGATGATACTGGGAGGTCTCTTCCAGCTCCTCCTCACAGTCCCCAGGCCAATAAATCAGGCCCCCTTTTCAGTTACAGATGTACAACAGGCTAGGACCTATGCTAATGAACAATGTTCTTTAAAAAAGAAACCACCCTGAAAAGTTTATTCTCCTTTCAACAGAACCAAACTTGGTTGTAATACTAGTGGGGGACTAAGAATGATGTCTGATGTGCTAGCTGCTCTTACCTGGGAGATGAAGTTATATTTTGAGTCTTTCATAACTATATTAATCAAGAAAATATAGGATGCTACAAGAACTCGGCCTCATTAGTGAAACTATCATGCTAATCCACCCTCTGGTGGCAGATCTATATACAATTCTCTTCCAAATTCCAGGGGACATTAATTGGTCCTCATTCTTTTTTTTTTTTCTTTTTTGAGATAGGGTCTCACATGCAGTTCAGTCTGGCCTTGAACTCACTATATAGCCCAGGCTGGCCTCAAACTTGCAGCAATCGTCCTGCCTCAGCCTCCTGAGTGCTGAGATTACAGGCATGTGCCACCATCCCCAGCTTGGTTCTTAGTCTTATATTTAAAAGATGCATTTTTTTCCCTATCCCATTACATCTAGACTCACAATTTGTTTGGTAGTAGACACAAGAGAACTACATGTAGTATGGTATCTTTTGATATTATCCACAAATTTCAAATTACTTTGAAAAGTGACCTACCCAGTCTGGAGCATTATTTCTAGGTCTTCTTGAGAGATGTTTGTATATCTCTTCCCACAAACCATGCTCACAGGATCTGTTTACATTCAAAAAGTTCTATATATTTCTTTGCAAACACATGTGTGTGTGCGTATGTGCACCTGTGGCATGCCCAAAAACTGGATCAAATTTATTGTCTAACATTTTCTTTTCTAAAAATTACTTAAAAACAACACCACCAGGGCCGGGGATTTAGCTCAGTGGTTTTGCCACCTGCTGCGCAAGCGCAAGGACCCGAGTTCGATCCCGGGTACCAAAAAAACAAAACAAAACACAACAACACCATGGGACTAGGGATTTAGCTCAGTGGCGTCTCACCTGCCTCGAAAGTGCAAGGTCCTAAGTTCGATTGCCAGTACTGGAAACAACAACAACACCAAAAAAGGTAGAATATTATTATAATGATGCAATGGTTAGGTGAGGATAAAACAGAATGAATTTCACTAGTATTGATATAATTTACATTTAAAGTGTGAAGCATTTTCATCTGTCTTATTTGATCCTCTGTGAGGTGGGAATTGTCTTACATATGTGAAAAAATAGGAAGCTTAGAAGTTTAAACTTTTTTCTTAAAAATACAAAGCAAACAAGTGAAAGAACCATATTTTATTTATTTTTTGAAGTTAAGTATTTTATGGTTTTTTTGTTGTTTTTTTGGTACCGGGGATCGAACTCGGGTCCTTGTGCTTGCACAGCAGGCAGGGGAACCACTGAGCTAAATCCCCAGCCCTATTTTATGTTTCTTATTGTGCTGCAAAGCTGTTGCTCACTGTATAAAAACAGGACCAGTGCCAGGTGTGGTGGTACATGCCTATAATCACAGCAGGTAGGAGGCTGAGGCAGGAAGATCAATGTGCGTTCGAGGCCAGCCTGGGCTACATAGTGAGTTCAAGGCTAGCCTGAACTACATAGTGACACTCTGGCTCAAAAAACAAAACAAAAACAAATAAACAACCCCGCCCCCAACAAATACAGTATATTGTAAAATTAAGAAAGTGTTTTTCCTGCTGGGGATTTAGCTCAGTGGTTCTGCTGCCGGCCTCGAAAATGCAAGGTCCCGAGTTCGATCCCTGGTACCAAAAAAACCAAACAAAACAGTGTTTTTCTTTATCTGACACTGTACAACATACACACTCCCCCACTCCCAGAGAATCATATTTTAATAATAATCTAATCCCAGACGAAATGTTTCTCTACTGCATATATTATACCTAAGTAGTTAGTGCCTGTTGAATAGCTTATCCATGCAATCTTACCTCAAGTCTGTAAAAAGTTCAAGCATAGTAATTTGTCTTCATTATTATATAGAATTCTAGTTGTAGAGTCTATAACTACGATCTCTATAAACCACCAAGAAAGACTGAAGTATAGAGTAGCTTTTTGGTGCAAGTGCTTGTTTCTCTATAAATTCACTTCTTTGCAGGGATTTAGCTCAGTGGCGCTGCACCTGCCTTGCAAGCACAAGTTCCTGAGTTCAATCCTTGTTACAGAAAAAAAAAAATTAACTTCTTTTGAAAAAACATTCATAGAATAAAAAAATTACAAAGAAATACAAAGATGAATATAATAAAGTCTTTGCCTTTGAAGAACTCAAAATCTGTGTTTAATCATAAACACAATGTAAGGCAGAATGAAGTAAGTACCATAATAAGACCTATATGATATATAAGGGATTTACAAGGTATGCTTACGACGGCCACCTGCAGAGTCAGGGGTGAAATATGCAGAAGTGTGGTCTCCCCACTCGATTGGCAAAGGAGCCAGTCAAAAGCTGAAGGCCTGGTGCTCACTGCAAAGTCCTATATGGATCCCCACTGGGAACCTGGAGAGTCTGGGTTGGAAGGCACAATCTTTTTTCTTTTTTTTTGGTACCGGGGATCGAACTCGGGTCCCTGAGTTTGCGCAGCAGGCGGTGAAACCACTGGGCTAAATACCCGGCTGGGAAGGCACAATCTTGAGGCTAGCCTGGGCAATTTAGTGAAATCTTGTTTCAAAATAAAAAATGAAAATAGCAAGGGTGCAGCTCAGCGGTAGAGCACCTCTGTTGAGTTCAATCTCCAATGTGGGGCAAGAGGACGACGACGGGAAACATTAAAATGAGAAGTACTTCCACATATGTAGTCACGATTTTCAGTTTTCATAGCTTGTACGCCATCACAGCAATATGCCACTATTTATTTATTATTTATTTTTGATACAGGGTCTCACTAGGCAGTTCAGACTATTTGCTATGTAGCCCGGGCTGGCCTGGAACTCAGTGACCCTCCTGCCTTAGCCTCCCAAGTGCTAGGATTACAAGTGTGTGCCACCACACCCGGCTAATATGCCACAATCTAGTCCAAAAATATTTAACAGTAAGTTTTCAAATTTTCATACCAAAAAGGGCAAGGATAAACAGAATTGACTCAAAGGCAGGAAGTTAGTATCATTTATATTTACTTACTTTAAAACAATCCAATTTACTAGACCTTGTTTGCTTCTTACAAATTATGTGTAGGGGTCCGATTATCTTTCGCGTATTTTTTCATATATACAAATCTCAATAGTAGCACAGCTTTGAAAGCCAGTCTCAGATTGCTACTGTAATCAAGCATTAACAACTTCATTGTCACAGATTGAAGAGCTTGAAGAAAAACTGTCTAGGAAAGCCCCAAACACAGCTTCTTCCCCCGCCTTTGAGTTTACTTATTTATTTAATATTTTTTGAGATAGGGTCTCGCTATGCAGTACAGGCTGGTCTTGAACATCTATCTTTCTGCCTCAGCCTTCCGAGTGCTGGGATTACAGGCGCCCGCGCCGCCTTTGACTTTAAATGAAACAAAAACACTGACATTCTGTAATAGATCTTTCAGCTTGGACCCAGCCTGGATCTGGATTCAGCTGGTAAGAATCGTCCAGCGAGTTAGGCGGCGTCAATTCCTCCGGGACCGTGGCTCTCAGGCCCCTCAAGGCGGGGCCGAACCCTCGAGAGCTGGGCCAGTCACTGCCTCTCCAGCCGTGGGGAGGCGCTCGCCCTGGGTCGCAGCCTCCGGGTCCAGACCTTGGCCCGGACACGCCGAAAACAGCTCAGACCCTCACAGACTTGGATTCTGGTGACCGAATCTACCGATCCGAGCCCGCTGGGAAGCTCTGCGCAGGCGCGACAATCGAGCGACATCCGTCACTTACGGCCGGAGTGGTTCGTGCCGGGAGTCGGTGGCGCGGTGCTGGGCTCTTGAGAACAGACAGCTTGGGCTCGGGTAAAGAGCAATCTTCCCTCCTTTTCCCAGTTATTCTAGGTACTTGGGACCCCCGCAGAGCTCCTTGACCCGATGCAGGCGCCCAGTCATTTACTGTCCCATCATGCTCCTCTGCTGCTCCGGGTGCTCCCGCGCCCAGGCGGGGGTGAGGGGCGGGGTCGAGGCTGGGCTGGACTGTGTCCTGGCGTCTTCCTGTTGGAATCTCCCGTGTAACTCGTGGTTCTTTTTGTTTTCCAAGACTAGTATCCGGGGACTGATTTTCCGGGTCCACCATGGAGCCAGAGCAGATGCTGGAGGGACAGGCGCAGGTACCAGGAGGCCCTGGATTTAGGGTGGCGGTGTACGGGGAGGCTGCGAGAAACAGTTTGAAATCTCTGTGACTCGTGTTTTGTTTTCTAGGTTGCAGAGAATCCTCATTCTGAGTACGGTTTGACAGACAACGTTGAGGTAACTTGCTTGATTTCTTTTTGTTTTGTTTTGTTTTGAGACAGGGCCTCACGTGTAGTCCAGGCTGGCCTTGAACTCGTGGTGATCTTTCTGCCTCAGCCAGCTGAGTGCTGGGATTGCTGGCGTGCGCCACCATGCCCCGCTATTCGCCGTATTTCTATGCCATATCTGTCCATCTCTTGAGGGCTAGAGAAAATTTGGAATTCTTTTTCACGAGATTACTTTGCTCCAGAGAAAGCTTTGCTATCATGAGCCCAATAGTATCAAATTAAAGGTAGCTTTTTTTTTTTTTTTTTTTTAAGGTAGCTCGTTTTACTAGCGGTACTAATACTTGTTTAGAAATTAGAGGTACTTTGTAATTGAATGAATAACTACTGGAACAAGTGAATTAACCACAACTATATGTGACTGGTTAAGTGAATTAACCACAACTAAGTGGGATTGGTTAAGAAAATACTATATAGGCTTTGTGAAGATTTATATTTTTTATTTAAGAAAAGATACATGAATGATTAAATTTGGACAAATGAAGACAAGAGTATTTCCAAACAGATTTATAATAGTAACATGCAATATCTCTTCATCTCTTTTGCTGTGTGTCTTGACACACTAGCAATCTGCATGCATTTTCAATCCCATAAGGCTCGAAGAAGTTAAGTAACTTGTCCAAGGTCACTGGGAAGTAAGTGGAGAACGTTTTCAACTTAGGCAGGTTGACTTTTTTTGCAAAAGGTTCAAGCCATATTGCTAATCTTTGTGTATGAGTGTGTGGTGCTGGGTATCAAGCCCTGGGCCTCATGCATACTAGTGGAAAAGCACTTTGCCATTGAGGTACATCCCTAGCCTTATACCGCTGATCTTAATGAATTCCTAGAGTTCACTGGTGTGACTATTTTTTGCCTATAGAATTGCTAGCAGTGTTTATTGGTTTTATACCAGTATTAAAGAGAAAAATCCTTTTTTTCCATAGTGTTCTTGTAATAGAATTGCTAATCTGAATCAGGCGAATATACTCTACTTGTGTTGTAGTTCCTTAGACTTATTTTTAGGCATCAGCACAGTGTTCATGGTGCCTTTGTATACAAAGCCATGATACTTTAGTGATATCCAAATGCTGTATACCAAATCACTGGATCTTCCTTTGTATTTGGAGAAAAAAATGAAAGTAAAGTTGTTTAATATGTCCTTTGGTGATTGGTTTTGCTTCTTGATTTTTTTTTTTTTTGTAGTATTGGGGATTGAACTCAGGGCCTTTGCACTGATCTAAATCCCCAGCCCCTTTTTTTTTTTGGTACGGGGATCAAACTCAGGACCTTGTGCTTGCAAAGTGCAATTGCCACTGAGCTAAATCCCCGGCCCTCCAGCCCTCTTTTGATTTTATTTTTGAGTCAGGATCTTGCTAAGTTTCTCAGTTGTCCAGATTGGGCTCAAACTTGTGATCCTGCCTCAGACTCTCAACCCCCCTTAATGAATTAAGAGTGATAGTAAAATAGTAACTGTGGTTTTTGTTTGAAAGTTTTTGATCTTAGCCAAAAGGCCGAGAACTGATGTTTGAAAGTTTTTGGTTGGCCAAAAATAGTTAACAACTCCATGTTAGTCTTCTCATTCATCTTACTATTGCCCCCACCCCCCAATATTGGGGATCGAGCTTAAGACCATGCACTTGGGAGGCAGGTGTGGCACCACTGAGCAGTATTTCTAATTTCCTTGACCCTATTTCTAATTTTGTGTGATTTTTTTGTTTGTTTGTTTTTTGGTACCGGGGATCGAACTCAGGACCTTGTGCTTGCCAGGCAGGTGCAGTGGCACTGAGGAACTTCCCCAGCCCTGTGTGTGATATTTGAAAGACTGGAAACCACTCTTCTACAGTTGCTACTGCTGCCACTTTCTCCTCTTTTGATTACATTTATTTTCTTTATAAGCTTATTATAAATTTATTTTTCAAGTGTTTGCTTTAGTGTTTATAGTATTCAAATTTAACTTATCATAATTTACCTTCAAGTAATATTATATCTTTTATCTATAATATATGATTTTTAAAAAAAATGGTGCTGGAATTTGAAATAAGAGCCTGCATACAACGCGAGCACTGTATTGCTGAACTACATCTTAGCCTAGTATATGAATTTGTATCTTATAGCAATATTCTAGCTAGATAGCAATATTCCATTTTTATCCTCTCTTGGACTTTTCTATTTAGTATATATTTTACTTTTGCATTTATTATGTTATAATTATTTTTTCCTTAAAAAGTCAGTTGTCTTAGCTAGGTGTCCTGGTGCACACCTGTAGTCCTAGCACTTACTTTTGAGGCTGAGGCAGAAGGATCAAACAATAAAAAAGAGGAGAATTTTACTTTTATATCATTTCTGGGGCTCTTTATTCTTTTGTGTAGATCTAGATTCCTAGATTCTTTTGTGTAGATCTAGACTTCCTGTAGTTATTTGCTTAAAGGAATTCAAGATTTCTTGTGGTGCTGGATGTGGTGGCACATGCCTATAATCTCAGCATTCTGGAGTATGACATGGGGGAATCTTTTCTCTTGGTGCCTTATTTTCTTTTTATCACAGGTCCCTCCCCTCCCCTCCCCTCTCTCCTCCCCCTCCTCTCTCCCCCTTTCCCCCTTTTCCCTTCTCTTCTTCCGGGATGATACTAGGGATTGAACCCAGGACCTTGTGCATGTTAAGCAAGTGCTTTATCATCATTGAGGTACATCCTCAGACCCATTCATTCATATATATATATATATATATATATATATGTGTGTGTGTGTGTGTGTGTGTATATGTACATATATATACATATGGAGAGAGAGGGAGAGAGAGAGACATAGACAGATAGGCAGACAGACAAGGTCTCCTACTGCGACAGACTCCTGAATAGTTGGGATTACAGACATACGCCACTGTGCTACCACTGCCTAGTTTTATCATAGTTTTTAAGTAATTTTGATTATTTTTTAGGGGGGAGTTGTTGGGAATTGAATCCAGGGCCTGATGCACGCTAAGCACATGCTCTACCACTGAGCTATACACCTGTTGGACACTTCTGTATTTTTTTACACATTCTTAAATTTTGTTCTAGGACAGCTCCGTAAAAACAGTTTGATCCTTTTTTGTTTGTTGGCTTTTGGTACTGGGGATCGAACTGGGGACCTTGTGCTTCCCAGGCAGGCACTGGAACCACTGAGCTAAATCCCCAGACCCCAGTTTGATCCTTTTAATGGTTGCTTTAACTGTTGTTAGTGGTGCCTGAGCATCCTTTAGGCCTAGTTTCTTTTAAGTGTTTACCCAGTGTTCCATGTATTTGAGGTTTTCCCACTCTGGCTTATAGTCAAGAAAACTCTCCAGCTTGTTTAAGCTCCATGATTGTTCCTCCTGCTGCTTCCGAGTGGTTCTTTTCCTAGTCTCAGGGGAGGTTATATTTACCTGAAGTCGGGAAGGCAGTCTCTTTAGTCTCTCTCTGTGTGATTCTCCTCTCCATGCAGTGTTCTCCTTTCTGGTGCTCTGCACTGCAAATTCTAGTTGTCTTGATTGCCCAGAATTTTCTTTTTTCTTTCTTTCTTTTTTTTTTTTTTTGGTGCTGGGGATCGAACTCGGGACCTTGCGCTTTCGAGGCAGGTGCCAGAACCACTGAGCTCAATCCCTGGCCCTGCCCAGAATTTTTAATTCTGTCTTCTCAACTCAGTCTAATTAGGCTAAGCTCAAGTTTTCTCTCAGAGTCTGCATTCTATAAATTCTTTAGAACACAGTAAACTGGAGCAGTCATAGAACTCATGTCAGTCCCCTCCCTCTTTTGTGGTTATTGTATAATACAGGTTTTAATTATAGATCTCACTATGTAGTCCAGGGTGGCCTTAAACTTACGATGTAACCCAGCTGGCATCAAACTTGTGGCAGTTCTCCTGCCTCAGCCTCCCAAGTGCTGGGATTACAGGTGTGCACCACCATGGCTGGCCTTTTTAAAAGACACGTCTATCTTCAGATAAATTAATTCTAATACTGCAACCATGCTCAGCAATATTAGGTAATGTTTGGGCTGGGGATTTAGCTCAGTGGTTTTGCTGCCTGCCTTGCAAGCACAAGGTCCTGAGTTCAATCCCCAGTACGAAAAAAAATTAGGTAATGTTTGAATGAAATAAATGAGAAGATTTAGTTAAAGAATTTATTATAGGATATTATTCTTATTGGAGGCATTATAATTCATGAAACTAGTTTTCCTTCTGCACAAATTCTGTGACAGAAAGATAGAACTGTTTTTAGAAAATACACTAAGGGTTTGGTAGTCGCCTCATTTTATTTATTTATTATGATTAAGCTGAAGTTTTTTGAACATTGTAGATTCTGGTTTAAAATGGAAGAAAACTCATTCAAACCAATAATGTCAGTTTTCAGAAAGACCAAATTATATAATATTTTCTCTAATGGAAAGATAAATTTTACAGAGCTCAATTAGAATTTCAGAAATGATGGAGGGGCCGGGGATTTAGCTCAGTGGTTTCGCCGCCTGCTCCGCAAGTGCAAGGACCCGAGTTCGATCCCCGGCACCAAAAAAAAAAAAGAAATGATGGAATGCTATGGGTGTTATCTGTTGAGGTTTATTGATGAACAATAAATTTCTCAATCCATGGTTAAATAGCTATTTTACAGATTAATTGAAAAAACAGGTTCCAGAATTAGGTTAAAAGAAGCATAAGAGAAATTGTGTGATATAATTATGAGATGTTGTCTTTCTTTCTTTTTTGTGTGTGTTTTTTTGTTTGTTTGTTTGTTTGTTTGGGTTCTTTGAGACAGGGTCTTGCTGTGAGTTTAGGCTGCCTTTGAATTCACTATATACCTCAGGCTGGCCTTGAAGTTGGAACTTGGCAGCTAAACAAGTACGAATCACCACACCAGGCTGGGATGTTGTCTTTGGAAACCTTGGTATATTTGTTATGGATAACAAAACTTTTTTCTTCTACTTTTACAAGATAAAGTTAGATCTAGAAAAATATTTTTTTCTTTGTTGACTCTTTTATATCCACTTTAAGTATGATTGAATGGAGGTATTCTTAAAAATATTGTTTTGAAGCTGGGCCTGGTGGCACATCCCTGTATTCCTGACACTCAGGAGGCTATTGCATAGTGAGATTCTGTCTAACCCCCTCCCCCCTTAAAAAACCCAGTCATCAAACAAATGAGAAAGGAATACTGTTTTGAGCTCCACAAGGTGGCACATGCCTGTAATGCCAGCTACTTGGGAGGCTGAGGCAGGAGGATTGCAAGTTGAAGTCCAGTCTGGGCAGCTTAGTGAGATCTCGTCTCAAAAAACAGAAAAAGGCCCGGGATTTAGCTCAGTGGTTCTGGTGCCTACTGTGCAAGTGCAAAGTCCCGAGTTTGATCCCCGGTACCAAAAACAAACAAACAAACAGAAAAAGGCACATACAGTTTTGTTTTTTTTTTTTTTTTTTTGGTACCAGGGATCGAACTCAGGCCCTTAGGCTTTCGAGGCAGGTGCCGGAACCACTGAGCTAAATCCTGGGCCCAGTTTTGTCTTTTAAGAGGTGTTTATTTCTTTATTGTTTTTTTTTTTTTTTTGAGACAGGGTCTCTCTTTGTAGTTTAGGCTGGCCTTGAACTCGCTGTGTGGCCCATGCTGGACTCAATTACAGGTGTGAGCCACCATGCCTGGCCCAAGAGATATCTATTTCAAAAATGGTAGCTTTCCTTTTTTTTAATTTTTAAAATAAATTTTATTTTATCCCATTCCCGCCTCAACCTCCCTCCCCTCCCTATGTACAGAAGGTTTGTTTTCATTTTTTCCTATTTTCACTTTTTTTCTTGTCCTTTCCTTCCTTTCTCCCTCCCACCTCCCTTGTTCCCCTTCCCATTTGAACACTTTATTCCCATTTCCCAACATCCGTTATACATCTCAGTCCTTATTTCCACTTCTGATTTCTCACACCAGAGAAACAGTATGGTATTTAAGCATGTGTGTCTGGTTTAAAAAATGGTAGATTTTTTGGTTTGTTTTTTGTTTTTTGGTACCGGGGATCAAACTTGGGACCTTGTGCTTGCGAGGCAGGTGACGGAACCACTGAGCTAAATCCCTGGCCTGGTAGATTTCTAAAAGGGCAAAATTTTTAGTAGTTTTTGATATTCTAGATGTCAGCGAAAATGTATGAAGGCCTCTAGCTTTGGAAGTTGTTAAATAGTATACAGTGGTACCTCGGTTCATGAATGCTTTTATTTGCAAACAGACTAAATGGTTTGCAAACAGAGACATTACATTTTGTCTTTGTTTGTAAACTGCATCAGGTGACAAACACAGCCGTGGGCATATTTCCCACATAAACATAAACGTGGCCATCTTTTCCCAGTAGGACAAATTAAGTTCATCAAATGAGACACTGCTGTAATTTGTCGGTCCCCAAATTTTATTCATTTAAATTACATTCACTTCTTTTTTCTTTTTTTTTTTTTTTGGCACCGGTGATCGAACTCAGGACCTTGTGCTTGTGAGGTAGGCGCAGGCACTACTGAGCCAAATCCCTGGCCCACATTCACTTTTTTTGTTGTGTTTGTTTTTTGTGGTACTGGGGATTGAACCTAGAGCCTTTGTACTGAGCTACATCCCCAGTCCTTTTCCTTACTTTTCATTTTGAGACAGGGTCTCACCAAGTCCCTAAATTGCTCAGGCTGGGCTCAGACCTGTGCTTCTCTTGCCTCAGTCTCCCAGTCTCCCAGAGTGCTGTGATTACTGGCTGCCTACCAGCCTAGCCTATTCTCTTTTGAAAATCATGGATGTATTTCTTTAAAAAAGAAGCAAATGGAAAAGCATTCTCATTGTTCTACAGAGTAACCATAAAAATAGAAACAATGATAATGCGTATTAGCTAGATTTTGACAGTATGAGCCTGTGAGACCACAGCCTGTCTTCTCTGTTAATAAGGGAGTTTAAACCAACTGGTGGGGAACACCTGCAATCCCAGCCCTATGGGAAACTGAGGCAGCAGGGTCACAAAGTTCAGCCTAGCCTGGGCAATTTAGTGAGACCCTGTTTGAAAATAAAAAAATAAAAAAGGGTTGGCGATGTGGCTCAGTGCAAGGGCCCAAGGCTCAATCCCTAGAGCTGTTTAAAAAAAAAAAAAAAGTTCAGCCCATCCAGGTGGCACAAACCTATAATCCCAACATTTGGGAGGTTAAGGTAGGAGAGTCAAGAGTTCCAGGCCTGCCTGGGCCACGCAGTGAATTCAAGGTCAGCCTCCACTACATAGTGAGACCCTGTCTGAAAAATTAAAATAAAAAACAAGAAAATGCTGGGGGTGTAGCTCAGTGGTAGAGTGCCTGTGAGTTTCATCTCCAGTGCTGAAAAAAATAAAAAAGGGAGTTTAGCAAGTGCTACAGAAGTATGAAAGACATACTAACATCAAACAGACTTTGTCCTTGATATTATCTATAATAAAAGAATTAGAAAAGAACTAGCTTTCTTGTTGATTTTTAGTGCTATTTAATGTCATGTCCATCGTTTTGGAAAACACTGTAAGACAGTATTCTCATAAAAAAAAGGAAAAAGAAGAAGGGCTGTATTTACTCCTAAAAGGGAGAAGAAATGGGAGACAGTAGCATTTAGAGATGCGACATTTAAAGGTAATATGATGTCTTTGGAGAGAAGAGTCTTAAATGAAATTTAGAGATAGGTCTGAATTTCTTTTGGCAGAGATGTTTGCAGTTTCTACTCATTGATTTGTAGTCATTGATTTGGAGATTCTAGTCATTGTTCTGTTAGTATCATTCATTTTATTTAACACTCAAAATAATCTAGTTATTTGGAATATTCATGCACTGTGTTTTGAATTCACTAGAGGATAGTAGAAAATGAGAAGATTAATGCAGAAAAGTCATCAAAACAGAAGGTGGATCTACAGTCTTTGCCAACTCGTGCCTACCTGGATCAGACAGTTGTGCCTATCTTGTTACAGGGACTTGCTGTGCTCGCAAAGGAAAGGTAAGGTCATAGAGTCTGCAAAGGGTAGCAGCAGAGGAAGAAAAGACTTCCTCAAGGGAAATACCCTTAGTTTTTTATTATAGTTTCATAATTTATGGCTATTAAATTTCTTAAAAAGAAGTCAGGCATGATCTCAATTCATATATTTTCATTTCTTCTAGCAGTCTTGGATCATATGCATACTTGTATGGTGTGCATGTGATTTTGTATCTTCTTTTTACTTTTTTTTTTGGTACTGGGGATCCAACTTGGGACCTTGCGCTTGCGAGGCAGGCGGTGGAACCACTGAGCTCAATCCCTGGCCCCTGTATCTTCTTTTTTACTTAATGACGTAAAATTTTTCTGTATGGATCGATTTCCTTCATGATCATAATTTAAATTGCAATAGTACCATAATTAACCTAGCTATGTTCTCTGTTACTGAAGATCTAGGTTCAATTTCCTTTGTTACTGTAGATCAGTAGACTTTCATGTCTCTTTTGGCTTTGTTTACTGTTTTTAAACATTTTTTTATTTTTCATTTTTTCTTGTACTGAGAATTGAACTCAGGACCTTGCGCTTGCCAGGCAAGAGTGGCACCCCTGAGCTACATGCCTGGCCCTTTGTTTACTTTTTTTTTCTTCCAGTATTGGGAATTGAACTCAGAACCTTGTGTTTGCCAGGCAGGCCCCGAGCCGCTGAGCTAAATACCCAGCCCCTTTCTGTTTACTTTTTTTTTTGGTACCGGGGATCGATCGGAACTTGGGACCTTGTGCTTATGATGCAGGCAGCAGAACCAGTGAGCTAAATCCCTGGCTGTTTACTTTTTTAAAAAAAATTCTAAAGAGTTGTTTTACTAGTTCAAAGGATATTATTTTTATAGTATTGAACATATATCGTATTTCTAGCCTAATGCTTGTTAAAATTCTTCTAGTCACTGTAGTCTCAACAATGTTGTAAACTTTTTTGCCAAGTTTTAATTTATATTTCTTCATTAGTACAGTTATTAACTAATTTTGAGCAGTAATTCTCATCGAGATTTTTTTGTGTAAGCAAATACAATGAGGAAATTTGTTTGGTAAATTAGTTAACATTTGTTACATGCATATTTTTTATTTGAAGGACAGTAATAACTCGTAGCAAATGACATAACTGGGTAAAAAACTTGAACATTACATCACATAGTAAGAGGAAGTCATGAAGAAACTTCATAGACTTAAAATAGCTGTATTAATTTATGTAAAAACTATGTATGAAGTCTGGGAGTGTAAGTCAGTATTAGAGTATGTGGTAAGCATGCACAAGGCCTAGGTTCAGTCCTTTGCAACACCCATCCCAATTGATTAACAAAGAGGAAGCAATAAATATTTGTTGTTTTTTTTTTCTGGTACTGGGCATCGAACTCAGGACCTTGTGCTTGCGAGTTAGGCGCGGTGCCACTGAGCTACATCCCCGGCCCTTGGTTTTGATTGTTATATTTGTACAGTAAGATTTGTGACTGTGAAATACATCTTGATTCTACCACTGAGAATTAAAATGTGAGTGTCCTTTTTTTTTTCTGTTCTTATATAGGAGTCTAGCCAGGCATGGTGCCACACAAGTGTAATCCCAGCACTCTGGGGGCTGAGGCAGGGGATTGCCATGAGTTTGAGGCTGGCCTGGGTTACATAGTGAGTTCAAGGCCAGCCTGAATTACATGATGAGACCCTGCCTCAAAAAAAAAAAAAAAAAAAAAAAGAAAAGAAAAAGCCAGTATGTTATAAATTCTAAATACTACTTTTAACTGTTAGAAGAAAAAATTCAAAAAAATTTTAAGTAACAAGCTATTTGTAAATAAAACTTTTTAATAAAGTGTCCTCGCAAAATAATTCATTAAATTAATCGTAAACGTTATGTAAAAAATGTTGACTGTATGTAGGCAGCCCAAAAGGTTGTTTAAAGTGCAAAGGAAATGTTTTGAGATCACTGTAAATTAATGTCCAATATGTCCTTTCATAGTAGAATTTAAAACAGGTATTTCCCCTAATTTCATCTTTGGACTTGTTTTCTCAGCAAGAATAACTTCTATAAAAATGATAAATATGAAATAATACCTCAATATTATAAATATGCTCAACTCCTCAGGTATGCTGTGTAGTTGCAGTATTAGAATGAATTTGAATTTTTTTCTCGAACTCAGGACCTTGTACTTGACAGGCAGGCACGGCGCCACTGAGCTAAATCCTCGTCCCTTAAATTTTTTTTTTGAGACAGGGTCTCACTATCCAGTTCAGGCTGGCCTTGAAGTTATTATGCTCATTATGTGGCCTAAAACTCACAGAGATCCTCTGCCTCAGCCTCTGGAGTGTTGGGATTACAGGTGTGTACCACCATGCCCGGCAGGATTAATTTAAGTTATTTGAAGATAGAAGTGTCTTTCAAAAAAGAAATGTAAGCCGGATAATCCCAGCACTGGCTGAGGCCAGAGGAGTGCTGTGAGCTAGAGGCCAGTTTGAGCTAAATACAGTTGAAGGCCAGCCTGAAATACATAGTGAGACCTTGTCTCAAAAAACAAAAGAAAGCTGGGCATAGTGGCCCATGCTTGTAATCTCAGCACTTGGGAGGCTGAGGCAGGAGGATCTCTGCCAGTTTGAGGCCAGGCCTGGGCTACATAGTGAGTTCAAGGCCAGCCTGTACTACAAAGTGAGACCTTGCCTCAAAAAACCAAGTAGAAGACAAAAATAATAGAACTTGTTTAAATCAGTGTTGATTCTTTTGATTATTCACGTGAGTTTTTCAGCTGTATGTTGTGGTAATGCTGCAGCCATTGTCTTAAATGGTTTTTGTTGTGTATAATACCTATACAGAGAGTTACATTCATAGGTAGGAACTTCATAAGCAACATATTTATGTACTGTATATTCAGATCAAGAAGCCAAATACAATCCTGTAGCATCCCATTAGTCTCTCTTGTGACCCCTCTACCATTATTTTCCCTGGAGCAGTCCATTGTTAGTGTTCTTGTTCTTCAGAATCATGTTCATAACTAGTTTCAAGGCATAAAAAATTTGTCTTTTTAAAACTATATTGGTTGGTTGTCTGTCTCATTTACCATCTATACTACAAATGACCTTTGACTGTAAAATCAAAATTAAAAAGATGTGCTTTCTCTGTGAAATAATGCACTTAAATTAACACATTTAAAAATACATGTTTCTAAACTTTGGATTTCTTTTCCCTTACAGACCACCAAATCCCATTGAATTTCTAGCATCTTATCTTTTAAAAAACAAGGCACAATTTGAAGATCGAAACTGACTTACTGGAAGAACAGAAAAGTTTGGTTGCTACTGTAGATTTATATGATTAACAGGCAACTTTAATTGCCATAATTTTTTCTCCTTTTTGGAATTATAAGAACCTTCAGGACAAAAAAAATTATTTCTGGAATTGCTGAAGAGAACATATTTCCCCCTATTTTGATTTAATTGCCATACTTATTTAATGAGCAATTTCTGTGTAGTTTTTTTTCTCAGATTGTCTTTAACTTTGTTTTTAAAATGACCTTCAAAATAAATTGTCAAAATGCCAGTATTTCAGAGTAGTTTTTGTTTGGTATGAAAAATACTTTGTTTGCTTAAATTGTTATTATGAATTGCTTCTTGTTCTGAATGCTACAGAGTTTTACAGCAGAGTGAAAATATAACAGAATCAAGTATAATATAAAAAACTTAGCCAATTTTTCCCAGCATGTCATGGACCTTTCTGAGGGTGGCTTGTGGGCATCTTCAGTGTCTAACAAGTCTCACTGGTGTTTCTAATGTACAGTAATGTTGGGGTTTGGAAAAAAGTACTGCCTAGAGAATACAGTATCCTTCAATGCCTTGGGGTAATGATGTACAAATAGCCATCGTTTATTGCAGTCCTACTTGTCAGCCATTACACTGTTTTCTTTAACACAGCAAAATAGTTATTCCCATTTTGCAGATGAGGAAACATACTTGGAGAGGTTAAGTGACTTGTTCAAGAAAACATTACTGGTAAGTGCTTAAGTGGGAATTCATCCCAGTTGTTTTTCTTTTTTGCTTGAGACAGGGTCTTGCTATATAGTTCAGGCTGTCCTTGGCTGGCCTCAAACTCGAGGCAATCCTCCTGCTTCAGGCTGCCTGGCATTTCATCCCAGGCCTATGAATGTGTTGCTGATAGCTAGCGAGAAGTACTTGTGTCACTTAATGTAATTAAGTCTCTTTGCAATAAAGATTAGTAGCTGAGGGCTGGGGATCTAGCTCAGTGGTTCCACTGCCTGCCTTGCAAGCGCAAGGACTGGTGTTCGATCCCCGGGACCAAAAAAAAAAAAGATTAGTAGCTGGTGGGTGTTTTTGTATTCCTGTTGTCCCCTGTGAAGAAATTAAGATAGCTTACTGAGTCTGAAAATAGAGAAAATTGTCTGAAGAGAGTGAGGAAAAACATTCACCAGATAAGTGGTTCTCAAATTGGAGTGATGTATTTAGCCCCTCCCCACTATCCCCTGGGATATTCGGTGATCTGGACACATTTTCGTTTTCACAACTGGAGTGAGGTGGGATTCTACTGGCATATAGTGGGTAGAGGCCAGGGATGTGCTAAATATCTTAAAAGACACAAGATAACCAGTGTGCCCATCCACTTCCCCCCTAATCTTCCAGTTCAGGGTATCATTAGTATCAAAATTGGGAAACTCTGCATTGCAAATATATTTAATTCATGTGCCTCAAAGAAAAAATGTGAAGACCTTTGCAGAGTTAGAAATTTAATGTTGATGATGCATGTGTTACAGTTCTCTTTAATATAGGGAACACTTAGTAGAAATACTATTTTGATTCACATATGCAGATCTTTGTAGTTATGTAGTAAAATCCTGTTTAAGTAGGAAATATTGATATAGTCCACTTACACATAGTTATCACAAATACTAATTTTATCAAATTTATTTTGGCTACTTGGCTGATTCATTAGTTAATCCACTGAAGGGTTTTTAGTGGTATTTTAACATTTGAGTTAATTGTATAATTTCTAGTTACAGCATCCAATAATGTACACGCTAGGGAAGTGCTCTGCCACTGAGCTACATCCTCAGAGGCCAGAGTGCTATCTTTTTTTGCCAGCTATTCACATAAGAGCTACTTGATGGAACTTTTCAAATATTAGTATGAACAATAGTGTATAAATATCAAAATAAATATTGATATCTTGCTTAAAGCGTGGAGACCATGAGTCAGTTGGGATGGGGCCTGGATTTATGACTTTGTGATTTTGATTGAAAACTCTAGTCTGATGCATATGGTTTTGGAAATGTAAGTATGTAGTGCTCTGCCTAATGCTTCATTACTGTTAGTGTTATATTGAATTATCTTCAAGATAGGGCTTAAAATTCTCAATTTTGAATTTGCTACTTTTTCCAGTAAGAGCTGAGCGTAGGTACATCTTCTGCCAACAGTTGACACGCTCCTTAGTATTTACTATGCCAGGGACCCTGGGAAATACTTTGTCATTTCATCTTCAACCCTGTGTGGTAGACTTCATTAAAAAGTTTTATACCCACTTTATTTATTAAAATATTATTGGTATGTTAAAATATTATGTATGATTTACATGTAAAAAGCTGTATATAGTATTTACAAGCTGGTGAGTTTCAGAATAGGTATATACTAGTGAAACTATAACCACTATCAAGGCCATAAATAAATGTATTTGTATTCATCACCTCTCAAAGTTGGAAGTAGATTTCTTTTATTTTTGTGGTAATGGGGATTAAACCCAAGGCATCATACATGCTAAGTACACTCACTATCAGTGAACTACACCTGAAAGCCAGAGGTAGGTTTAATTTCGATATATCATTTTTAGATAAGGAAACATTTAGATTTGCTTAACTTGCTCAAGGTTACAGAGGACTGAGTTTGGGCCAGTGAGTCAAACCTAGTTTAATACTATTACTTCTCAGGTATGCCTATGATTTTTCTTTGGAGGAAAAGCAACCTGGACTACATAGTGAGCTCAAGGCCAGCCTCAACTGCATAGTAAGACCCTGTCTCAAAAGAAAAAAAAAAGAAAGAAAATCTAGTAATATCTTGATTTCTGTTTTTTCTTTGGAAGTGGGTTCTTTGATTAGAAGTCTGTATTATCTTCCATAAACCATATCAATAATGTATGATCTCTGACTTTGTTTCAAAGATTTTGGAAGATTTTACACATGTAGTTTGTAGAATGTTATATTTATTTTTTCTCCAGTCTTCATCTTGTCTGTATCTAATTTGTTTTTACTGAGTCCACAGCTTTCAGACTAACCTGTACAAACACCTTGTCTTAATCCTTTTGGGCTGCTATAACAAAGAAACGTAGACTGAGTGGCTTATAAAAAACAATTATTTCTTACAGTTCTGGAGGCTGGGAAACCCAAGATCAAGATAGTCTGGTGAAGACTTGATCTGCAGTGGTGTACAGATGGCACACAGAGCTGTGTTCTCATGTGGTAAAAAGGACAAGCTTGCTATCTGGGGTCTCTTATAAGGGCATTAATCCCATTTGTGAAATGACCTAATCACCTCTGAAAGTCCCCATATTTCTAATGTCATCATTAGATCTGGTGATCAGGAGTTCAGCATGAAATGTTTTGGGACCACAACATTCAGAGCATAGCAATCCTTTTGGATTATGTTTATATTTCATTGATTTATGTGGTAGTTAATCATGTGATGGCAGTATCTAGTACAGTTGGTAGAAATAAGTTGCAGAACATGATTGATCCTCATTAGGCATGCATACCACTTGGAAGGACAGTGCAAATGTATAAGTTTCTTAAAATTGAGTGTAGTCTACCAGCTTCAAGGGTTTAGTTTATGGTTGGCAATACTCAATGTATTATACTGAGGGAAGGGAGAATATCACTTCTTCCAGTAGGTTGGTTACATAGAAGTTGGTTTAAAAGCTTCTATAATTTGGTAGGGAGTATTTTATGTGTACCCAGCAACGGTAGTATATAAACAATTCCTATCTGTTGACCACTTAATGGAGAAAATATTGTTTAGTAAACAAATGCAAAAATAGAATAAAATTGCCTCTATTCTCTAAGGGTGAGTTGTTTCTTTTGTGTGTGAGTTCTTGAATTCTGTTGACGGTTAGGTTAGTGAGAGGACCAGTAGGGTAAATCAGGAATAAATTCCTAGAGGAAATAGACACCATGAATAGAAAAAAAGAAAAAAAGTTTGGTTAGAAAGAGATCATCTGTAATTCTGATGAGGTTATAGAGGAAGAATACTGAACCTTGTGTAAATCTCATTTATGAGGTACAGTGAGATTTTAAGATTAATAGCTTCTCTTAGAAACATGACTAAATACTTGTAGGAACAGAATAAAACATTTTACCCAGATATTTTCCTGGACTAGATTCAAAAAAGACATTACCAAGTTGAAAGACTGACACATACTATCAAACAGTAGAAATAAAACAAAAACTTTTAAGTGTAACAATTTACTTGTTAAAAACTCTCTAAATGTAAATTAACAAAGAAGAAAAGTAATATGATAATGAAAAATAGGCCACTGGAGATTAAAAAGGGCAGTTGGTAATGAATGATTGTCTCTTTAAAAAACTTGTCAGCTTTTAAAAAAGATATCTTTTATCTTGTTTATTTCACTTCTGGGAAACCTAAATAAATATGAAAAAAGTTTTATGTACAACATTTCATTTCAGTACATTGGAAATGCATACATTTTCATCATAAAGAAATCACTTAATAGCCAGGGATTTAGCTCAGTGGTTTTGTCGCCTGCTGTGCAAGCGCAAGGACCCGAGTTCTATCCCCGGTACCAAAAAAAAAAAAAGAAATCACTTAATATATGAAGTACTTAGTCAAGTGTCAGCTATACAGTATTTAATAAATGTCACTTAAGTTTTGTTCCTACAGTAGAAAGGAGCAAAGTTGACTGATTTTAGGTTAGCACTAGTTTTTTTTTGGTACTGGGGATCAAACTTGGGACCTTGCACTTTCGAGGCATGTGGCAGGTGGCGGCACCACTGAGCTAAATTCCCACCCCTTAGAGCACTAGTTTTAATTGAAATCAAAATAGCGTCTCTATGCTGAACTCTTAAATCTCGATTTGTTCAAAACATTGTGGTTTCATTGTAGAATGTTTTTCTTATCCATAGGGCTTTCAGTGGTATAGGGCTCCTAAGGCTGTCAACTGTGGATAAGTAAAATCTAAATAGTCAATTTAATATTGCTGTGTAGGTTCAAAAACAAGCCTGAAGATGTAAATAAATTAGGTATGTTTTGGTATAGGTGGTAGTATACTTTACACATTCTACATTTTGAAGCTTTTTGTATACCAGTACAGTATATTATATCACCTTATTCTTTTTTTTGTTTGTTTGTTTGTTTTGAGGCAGGGTCTCGCTTTGTAGTTCTGGCTGGTCCTGAACTCACTGTGTAGCCCAGGCTGGCCTCGAATTCACCATGTGTATCACCTTATTCTTTTAACAGGGGCATACGTATATCCTCCTAATTGAATGAATCTTATATTGATGGGTGTTGTGATTATTTTTTTTTTTCAGT